ATTTCTCACCCCCGCATTTTCAGCTCTTCCTCTCCCAGCCTCCCCAGCGCCGTCTCGGAGTGTTCTCCCCTCACCTGGAACCAGGCAGGCGCACTGTTTCTCAAACACACCAAGCTCTGCTTGGCCCACTGTTCAACACAGCCACCCAGCTGGTCCCTTCTCCTGGACGCATACACCCAGGCCGGGAGGGGGGGAATCTGCAGAGATGTGGTGGGGTCCACAGGAAGAGAGATGGGCGACTCAGCCATGCTTCGCCCACTTCGAGGACAATGGACTCCCTAGACATGGGCTCCAGGAATGTGAACATGGGGCACCCGAAATATTGAAGGAAGCCTAGTTCTAAGCGCAGACACTGGCCTCTGTAACATCCACATCATGAGTGGGCATTTGAAAGAACGGTGAGGACGCCCACCTCCCTCTGTGGGGTGCGTGGGTCCAACTCCCCATTCTGGCCCCTGAGTCCAGCTTTCCTGGGCGGCAGTGGGCAGGCTTGGGTTCCTGCCATTCATGTGTGTGTGTGTGTGTGTGTGTGTGGATCTGGACTGAGTTCCTGATCCCCAGCTTCAGCCCCAACACTGGCCATTGTGAGCCCCGGGGAGTGAACCAGAAGATGAGACCCCTCTCTCTGTCTTTGCCTCTCTAATGAATTCATTTTCAAAAAGAACACCCGTGTAAAAGATGAAAGAGTGAGAACAGATATTCAGAGAGAAAGATTTTAAAGTTAAATAAGAAATGTACAGGGCACAGCACTGTGGTGTAGTAGGTAAAGCCACCGCCTGCAGTGCTGGCATCTCATATGGGCACTGGTTCAAGTCCCGGCTGCTCCACTTCCGATCCAGCTCTCTGCTATGGCCTGGGAAAGCAGTGGAAGATGGCCCAAATCCTTGGGCCCCTGCACTCACATGGGAGACCTGGAAGAAGCTCCTGGCTCCTGGCTTTGGATTGGTGCAGCTCTGGCCGTTGCAGCCATCTGGAATAAACCAGCGGACAGAGGACCACCCCTCTCCCTCGCCTCTGCCTCTCTGTAACTCTGCCTTTCAAATAAATAAATCAATCTTAAAAAAAAAAAAAGGAATGTACAATAAAAAATCCAAGCACACATAAAACACACAGCGCGAGCTATCACTGTCGCCCTCTAGTTTTACACGGCTCCCTTTCTAGGGTGTATCGACTTCAGAAGTCTGTCTTCCAGGGGGAGACTTTCACACACACAAATACATTTGAAAAGCAAACACAGGTTCTGAGGTCTGGGTACTGAGCCCTGGATGACGTCCCTTGTCGTGGCTGTCACTCGGCTGTACACAGAGCGGTTGTGTGACCCTCGGAGTTGTGGGATGAAACCTAATTCCCGTGGGACCCTGTGCGGGCTGGGAGCTTCCAGAGGTGACTGGGACCTGAGGACTCCGCTCGCTCTCCTGCCCTCCTGCCTGCGCCTTGTGCTGATGAAGCAAGGGGGCCCTCTCCAGGTGCCAGCGCCTTCATGCTGGCCTTCCAAGCCTCCAGAGTCGTGACTCAGTGACTGCCTGACCCAGCCTCGGGAACTCATAAACTGGAACAAGACAGGCCCTCTCAAGCGGCATTAATGCCCTCGTGACAGAGACCTCGAGACCTCCTGTCCCTTCAGCCGCATGGAGACGCAATAAGACGGTTACTGCCGTGGTGCTGCAATGGGAGAGTGCTGGGGGGTGAGCACGGGCAGCCCCAAAGTCACGGCCAGCGTGGCGACCCCGGCCCGCTGCCGGGCTGCACTGGCCCTGGCCCTGCTCAGCCTCTCCAGCTTAGCGTCACATGTCAGTTCCCTGGGCCTCCGCGTTCTTCTGTTTCTGGGAGGTTATTTTTGTCTGTCGTTGCAAGAGGAGTATGTGGAGCATTTGAATGTCTTTGAAATTTAAGTTTCTATGTAGTTCAGAGTTAAAGAAAAATTATAAAAGTAAGGAAGCCCCGTATATCCTTTGGCCAGGTTTTCTTTTTCTTTTCTCTCTCTTATATATCTATCTTACCTTTAATAAATTTATTTTTTCTTCCTGACAGGCAGAGTTAGACAGTGAGAGAGACAGAGAGAAAGGTCTTCCTCCCGTTGGTTCACCTCCCAGTGGCCGCTGTGGCTGGCGCACCGTGCTGATCTGAAGCCAGGAGCCAGGTGCTTCTCCTGGTCTCCCATGCAGGTGCAGGGACCAAGCACTTGGGCCATCCTCCACTGCCTTCCCGGGCTACAGCAGAGAGCTGGCCTGGAAGAGGAGCAACCAGGACAGAACCGGCGCCCTGACCGGGACTAGAACCCAGGGTGCCAGCACCACAGGTGGAGGATTAGCCTAGTGAGCCGCGGCGCCGGCCAGGTTTTCTGATGTGTTTACATTCAGCCTCATTTGTTGCTCCGCTGTCCTCTCTGCACACACACACACACACACACACACACACGTATATATGTTATCTAAACACACACGAGTGAATGTTTACATATATTCTTTTCTGAACTACCTGAGTGTGTTGTAGAAATGGTGTCTCTTTGCTTTTGAAAAATCTTAGTGTGCATTTCTCAAGAACAAGGCCATTCTCACATAACTGCGATACAGTTACCAAAATGAGAGAATTTAAGCAGATATGACACTAATTTAATTTGTAGTCCATATTTAAATTTCACTAATTTAGCTTTTTTTTTCTGGTTCAAAATATAATCTACCATCACAAATTGAATTTTGTTGTTAATTATTTTTACTTTAAGATTTTCTTCATTTATTTGAAATGCAGAGGGGGAGAGAGAGAGACAGAGAGAGAGAGAGAGAGATCTTCTATTTGCTGGTTCATTCCCCAAATGGCCACAGCAGCTGGGGGTGGGCCAGGTGGAAGCCAGGAGCCCAGAACTCCGTCAGGGTCTCCCACGTCACTGGCAGGACTAAGCCCTTGGGCCGTCCTCTGCTGCTTTCCTAGGTGCACTAGCAGGGAGCTGGACTGGAGGTGCAGTAGGCGGTCCTCAAACTGGTGTTCGTATATGGGACACCCCTGTCCCGGGTGGCACCTTATCTCATGGTGACACCTTTTTACTTAATTTTTGAAAGTTTTTCTTTATTTGAGAGGAAGAGACAGGGAGAGCTCCATTCACTGGTTCAGCCCCCCAAAAGCCCACAGAGGCTGGGATCAGGCTGAGCTGAAGCCGCAAGCCAGGAACTCAGTCCATACCTGTTTAGTCTTTCTTACCCTCAACATTTTTCCTTTCCTTTCTTTCAAAATTTTTGGTTCAGCATATAGTACTTGTAAGTTTTATGGGGTACTGTGTAGTATTTCAACACAAGAATACAGTGTAAATTGACCACACAGGCAGCTGGTATTCCCATTTCCTTACCTTTTCTTTGTTTGGAGCCTACCAGCTCTGTCTTCCAGTTTTACACGCAGCAGACAACACGTACATGGTCCATACGTGACCCTCAGGCACCCCACTGTGCAATGCAACACTATTACTGCTGCTGATCTGTGTTTGGGTACCTGATGACCAGCTTCCCTCTGTGCTCCGTTCCAGCCTCTAGTAATCACTTTTCTAAGATCAGATTGCTTTCTTTTTTAAACCCCCACATGTAAGAGAGACCCTGTGCTATCTGTCTGTCTGTCTTACTATCTATCTTACTGTCTTGCTTAACACAACTGACCTCCACCCATTTTGCGGCAATGTCAGGATCCTTGACATTCTTTTGAAGAGTGGCTTGTTTCTCAATCTGAGCTTGGTTGATGTTTCCTATGAGTGGACTCAGCCACGCATGTGTGGCAGGAATGTCACTGAACCGGTGTTCCTCTACACGCACTGTATCAGGGGCACACACATTACGTTGGCTTCCCCGTGACTCAAAGGTGAAGTCACCATCCTGGCTTTGATCCTGGTGCCCCATAGGCTACACAAATGTTTCCAGCCTCTGGCTTCATGCCCTACAGGTGTGGGCCCAAAGGGCACGGCCTTGCATCCACACAACCTACTCGATGGGCTGTGAGGTGGGAACCCCAGGTTAGACTACTGCACGATGAAGAACCCATGTCTCACTTAGTACCTAAGCCAACCAACTCCCAAAAGCCAGGCTACTGAGCTAACCAGCAGCTACCCACAGGCTTATGAATAAACCCAACTAGGATTAGCAGAAAAGCAACACAAGCTGGTGGCCCACACAACAGGGAGCTAAGTAAACAGCTGTTGTTCAAAGCCATCACACTGTGGGATGGTACGTTACACAGCAAAAGCCAATGTAGACCTCTTGGAACCAGGGAAAGAGACAGAACCAGAAGTCCTACACATTTCATTTGAGATCACTGAAGAATGGAGGTCACCATGTTGTTCTAGCTCTGTCCTGTCTCTCTCATGGAGTGAACCCTCTGAAAGGCAGAATGACAGAGAGAGAGACAGAGAGAGGGAGATCTTCCATCTAATGACAAGCTCACTCCCCAAACGCCTGCAAGAGCCAGGGCTGGGCCAGACTGAAGCCAGGACCCTGGAACCCCATCCAGGAACCTCACATGGGTGGCAGGGACCCAAGTACTCGAGCCATCACCTGCTGCCTCTCAGGTGCACTAGCAGGACGTTGGAGTTGGAAGTGGAAATGGGACTTCATCCCAGGCACTGCGAGATGGGATGTGTGTATCCCAAGCAGTGGCTTAACCTGCTGTGCAGCAATGCCCACCCCTATACATCTCCTTCTGGGAAAAGGGCTTTTTTTTTTTCTTTTTAGGGTGCTGTTCACTACGAAGAGAGACTACAGGGCAATCTGTGAGCATCAGCAACTGTAGCACGTGCCACCAGGGCTCTGCCCTTGTTCCCTGTGTGTCTTGACCATTCCCATGCACAGGTGTACCCAGCAGGCACCTGCAACTCTTTGTTGGAGGGTGGTACTCAGGCTACCAGAACCTTTCATCTGAGCTCACACGCAAACTCCAGATGACCGTCGTCTTCGAGAGAACCCAACCCAACTCAGCAAGCCCCAACGGCTCCAGCCCCATGAGCTCCACAAAGCCTTGGCACCAACCTGCATCCTTCATACAGAGGGCACTGTACGTGCCACCAGGAACTGGGTTGCTCTCAACTCTCACGTCCACAGCTCTCATGAGCTGCTGCTCACCACTCCCTTTGCTACACACAGTTGTCCTGAAACAGACAAAGGAGACACCGGGTTAGGAGAACGCCTCTGGCCTGGAAAAAAAAATAGGGAAGAACAATTCTTTTCTGCTGTCAATTCTGAATCAACAGAGGTGTTTCTGATTCCTGAGCGGTGTTTGAAAGTACCAGGGTGGAAACATTCTCCCCAAACAGCTGTAAATTTAGGAAGACAGGAGGCGCTTCAGTTGAGGTAACAGGCACTGATTGAAGTTTCAGAGATAATACATGGTTTTTTGTTTTTGATTCTCACTTAATTTCAAAAGCTGAGAGAGAGGAAGAGAGAGGGGGAAAGATCTTGCATCTGCTGGTTCACTCCACAAATGCCTGCATCAGCCAGGGCTGGGCCAAGTCAAAGCTAGGAGCCTGGACTCCATCCAGGTCTCCCACCTGAGTGGCAGGGGCCCAGGTACTTGAACTTGATACCATGTGTATCCCAGGAAACTGGATGGGAAGTGGAGGACCCAGGATGCAAACCAGGCACTTGTAAGGGATGTGGGTATCCCAAGTGGTGTTCTGACCATGATGTCAAATGCCCACCCACCATACACTGTGGTATCTCCTAGGTACTTGCTAGATTTGTTTTATAAAATCATTTTATTTTTCTCTCATTTTGTTATTCTTTTCCAAATTTCTTAAGATACATCATGAGTTAAAGAACCTTCAGCCACTTCCCTTAACTAACACAACATTTAATGCTTTAGATTCTCTCTAGATGTAGCTTTAGCAGTACTCCAGGAGTTTAGATAGTATTTTTAATGCCATTTTGCTCTAAATATGTTAATTTCCATTATAATTTATTCTTTGTCCCATGATTTATATAAGGATGTCCTTTGTAAACAGCAAATAACTGAATTTGGAAAACCTATCTGACAATCTTTGTTTTCTTTATTTTTTAAAGATTTTGTTTGTTTTGTTTGTTTGTTTATTTATGAGGTAGAGTCACAGAGAGAGGGGGAGAGAGAGAGGTCTTCCATCTGCTGGTCCACTCCCCAAATGGCTGCAACAGCCGGAGCTGTGCTGATTTGAAGCCAGGAGCCAGGATCCAGGAGCTTCCTCCGGGCCTCCCATGTGTGTACAGGGGCCCAAGCACTTGGGCCATCTTCTACTGCTTTCCCAGGCCACAGCAGAGAGCTGGATCAGAAGAGGAGCAGCCGGGACTCGAACAGGCTCCCACACGGGATGCTGGCACTGCAGGCGGAGGCTTAGCCCACTGCACCACAGCACCGGCCCCTGTTTTCTAACGCGAGTATCGTGTCTACTTGGACGTCATGTAATCACCAATCTCTGAATTTACGTCTGCCATCATACAAGTGTTTTCCATTAGTTCTTCTCATTCCCTCTTCCTCTCCTTTCTTTCCCCTATTTTGGATTGCTTGGATTCTTTTTCTTTTCTTTTTTTTTTGGAGGGGGCATTCTTCCTTTCCTTCTGTGTTATTTTGGAAATTATAAATTTTTACTATTCATTTAGTGATCCAGAGGGTACAATCTGCTTCCTTGACTTAGTAAAATTTAACACTACTTTTACCTCTTCCTCAATAAAACAACTTAAAATTCTATCATTTTACCATTTTTAGGGTTTAGTATTATTTTTAAAATAATTAAAATTTAGATTTATTTATTGAGCTGGCGCCGTGCTCACTTGGCTAATCCTCTGCCTGCAGCACCGGCATCCCAGGTTCTAGTCCTGGTTGGGGCGCCAGGAACTAGTCCTGGTTGTTCCTCTTTCAGTCCAGCTCTCTGCTGTGGCCTGGGAGGGCAGAGGAGGATGGCCCAAGGCTTGGTCTGCACCCGCATGGGAGACCGGGAGGAAGTACCCAGCTCCTGGCTTCGGATCAGCGCAGCACTGGCCATAGCAGCCATTAGGGGAGTGAACCAACGGAAGGAAGACCTTTCTCTCTGTCTCTCTCTCACTGTCTATAACTCTCTCTCTCTATGTCTCTCTCTCACTAACTCTGCCTGGCAAAAAATAATTTAAAAAAAGATTTATTTATTGAAAGTCAGAATTAGAGAGAGAGAGAGAGAGAGAGAGAGAGAGAGGAGAGAATCTTCCATCTGCTAGTTCACGCCCCAAATGGCTGCAATGGCCAGGGCTGGGCCAAAGCCAGGAACTAGGAGCTTCATCTGGGTTTTCCACGTGCATAAAGGAGCCCAAGAACTTGGGCTACCTTCCGCTGCTTTCCCAGGTGCATTAGCAGGGAGCTGGATTGGAATTGGAGGAGCTGGGACTCGAACATGCATTCATATGAGATGTCAACGCTACAGACTGTAGCTTAACCTGCTATACCACAGTGCCAACCCCATAAAAAAAACAGTTTAAAATTTTAAAAATGTATTTGAAAGGCAGACAGACAGAGTTAGACAGAGACACAGATATCTTCATCTGCTGGTTCATTCCCCAGAATCGCAACAGCTGGGGCTGGGCCACGCCAGAGCCAGAAATCAGGCACTCAGTCCGGGTCTCCCACGTGGGTGGCAGTGATCCAAATGCTTGAGCCATCACCTGCTGCCTCCCAGGGTCTGCCTTACACGAGCTGGAGTCGGAAGCAGAACCAGGACCCAAACCCAGGCGAGCCAATGTAAGATGCAGGCGTCTCATGTGACGTCTTTGGGTGTGTGTGTCTTTAAAGCTTTGTTTATTTGAAAGTCAGAGTGACACAGAGAGAGAGGGTGAGAGAGAAAGGGTGAGACAGAACAGAGAGAGAGAAAGAGAGAGAGAGAGAGGTCTTCCATCCACTGGTTCACTCTCGAAATGCCCAGAACAGCCAGGGCTGGGCCAGGCTGAAGCCAGGAGTCAAAAACTCCACCCGAGTCTTCCCTCCATGTGGCAGGGGCCCAGGCACTTGGGTCATCATTCCCTGACTCCCAGGAAGCATTAGCAGGAAGCTGGATGGTGAGCAGAGCAGCTGGGACTTGACCCAGACCTCTGCTATGAGTTGTGGGTGTCTCAAGTCTGCCCCTCAAGTGACGTCTTACTAGCTGACAAACAGCCACCCAGGGTTCAGTGTTACTACTGCCATACGCGGTTACATGACTTCAGTGCCCACAGTCACTCTTTCCACTCTTCTGCACCTGCAGGCTTTCACCTTCAATTATTTTCCCCTCTCTGGAGAGCACCTTCTGGTGCCAATGATTTGGATGCACTGGATTCTTTCAGTGTTTGTCTGTTGGAAAATATTTTTACCCAAATTTATTCCTGGAAGATATGTTCACTAGGTTAGAAGTCTTAAGAAGCAGTAATTTTTTCCCATAACTTTTTTTTTAGGATTGATTTATTTGAGAGGCAGAGTTACAGAGAGGGAGAAACAGGGGCCGGCGCTGTGGCACAGTGGGTAAAGCCGCCACCTGCAGTGTTGGAATCCCATATGGGTGCCAGTTCAAGTCCGACTGCTCCACTTCCAATCCAGCTCTCTGCTATGGCCTGGGAAAGCAGTAGGGGATGGCCCAAGTTTGGGCCCCTGCACCCACATGGGAGACCCGGAAGAAGCTCCTGGCTCCTGGCTTCAGATCGGCACAGTTCTGGCCATTGTGGCCATTTGGGGAGTGAACCAGCGGATGGAAGACCCCTTTCTCTGCCTCTCCTTCTCTCTGTGTGTATAACTCTGACTTTCAAATAAATAAGTAAATCTTAAAAAAAAATTAAAGAGAGAGAGAGAGAGAGAGAGAGAGACAGAGAGAGGGGTCTTCCATCCGCTAGTTCACTTCCCAGATGGCCAAAACAGCCTGAGCTGTGCCGATCCAAAGCCAGGAGCCAGGAGCTTCTTCTGGGTCTCCCAAATGGGTGCAGGAGCGCAAGGACTTGGGCCATCCTCCGCTGCTTTCCCAGGCCATAGCAGAAAGCTGGATTGGAAGTGGAGCAGCTGGGACTCGAACCAGGCGTCCATATGGATTTACCTGCTATGCCACAGTGCCGGCCCCTCCCCTCGTCAGTCATCTCCGGTTTTCATCATCAGTTTATTGTCGCTGCTTTGAAGCAATCTCTCTTATTTCTTTCAATGTTTTTCTTCACGCTCAGTGTCCTCTTAAGTCTCATCATGGTGTACCTAGTTGTGGATTTCTTTTTATTTATTCTGCTTGGGCTTTGCAAGGCTTCTCGACTCTGTGCCTTAATGATTTTCTTCAGTTTTAGACCATTCTCATACTGTTGTCATTCTACTTTTCTCTCCTTTTAGCATTCCAAATGCATGCATCGTCTTTGCCTTCTGTCCTTTCTTCCATATTCTCACCCTTTTCCCCCTATTATTTATTCCAGACATCTCCTCTCCCTTCTAGTTCACTCATTCTGTTTTTTGCTGTTTATAAAAAATTCAATTGTTCTAAAACTTTGGGGGGTAGTCATGCAGCCTCGTGGTTAAGATGCTGCTTGTGGATCCCACATCCTATAGCAGAGTGCTGGGTTTGGGTTCTGCTCTGCTCGCATTCCAGCTAACACACAGCCCGACAGGCAATGGGGACGGCTCAAGAAGTTGAGTCCCAGTAAACCAACTGGGCATCAGAGGAGTGAACCAGTGGATGGAACATCTCTCTCTGTGTGTCTTGAAAAAAAAATTTTTTTTTACAAATTAAAAATCTTTTCAACTGATACATAAAAACTGTACACATTTATGGGGTATCATGGCCGGCGCCATGGCTCACTAGACTAATCCTCCGCCTTGCGGCACCGGCACACTGGGTTCTAGTCCTGGTCGGGGCGCCGGATTCTGTCCCGGTTGCCCCTCTTCCAGGCCAGCTCTCTGCTGTGGCCAGGGAGTGCAGTGGAGGATGGCCCAAGTGCTTGGGCCCTGCACCCCATGGGAGACCAGGAGAAGCACCTGGCTCCTGCCATCGGATCAGCGCGGTGCGCCGGCCGCAGTGCTCCGGCCACGGCGGCCATTGGAGGGTGAACCAACGGCAAAAGGAAGACCTTTCTCTCTGTCTCTCTCTCTCTCACTGTCCACTCTGCCTGTCAAAAAAATAAAAAATAAACATATGGGGTATCATGTAACACTGTAATACACACACATATTGCACAATGTTCAAGTCAGGGTCAACACATGTATCTATCTCCTCAGATATGTATCATTTATTCAGAGTGAAAATTCTTCGGTTCTAATAGGATCCATCCATAAAGTCTTCATTTTGATATAGTTTTCATGTCCAGAGTTTCCATTTGCTTATTTTAGAGTCTCTTGCTCTCTGCCAAAATTATCCATCTTGCTTTTTATATCTTTGGACATTTTAAGGATCATTATTTTAAAGTCTGCATCTACCAATGCTAATATCTATCTGGAGTTTCTATAAGCTATTGTCTACTGAATCGTAATCCTGTTGACTCGTCTCCTCATGTGACTAGCTATTTTATATGTGTGACAAATCCTGTATTTGCTATAATTGTTTTTGGAAGTAAATTAAAGCCTAGGCAGAATGGAACCAAATAGTTGAAAAGTATGCATCTCACAAAGGATTAATATCCAGAATACATAAGGAACTCAAATAATTAAACACCAAAAGCACAGTGCAGCTAAGAAATGGGCAAAGAATCTAAATAGACATCTTCCCCAAGGAGAAATGCACATGGCCCACGAATACATGAATAAATGCTCAGTGTCACCAATCACCAGGGAAAAGCAGATCAAAACCCCAGTGAGGCATCACCTCTGGCTAGAACGGTCACTGGAAAAAGACAGAAGACCAGTGCTGGCGAGGAGGTGGCGGACAGGATGTAGAGCTCTAATGCACCACCCATGAGGATGCGAATTGGCACAACCATTACGAGAACAGTGCGAGCTGTCCTCCAAAACCAGCAGTAGGCCCACCTAGGACCCAGCTCTCCCACTTCTGGGTAGGAATCCAAAGGAAAAGAAATCAGCAGATGAAAGAAATACCTGTCTCCAGTGTTTGCTGCCCCATTATCCACACAGCCAAGATAGCAATCAACCTCGGTGCCCACTGACGGAAGAACAGATAACCAGAGTGTGGTAGATACACAACGGAGTATTAGCCGCAGAAAAGCGTGAACCCTTGCCATCTGCAGCAACATAGGTGGAACTGGAAGACAGTCTGGTAAGTGAAGTAAGCCAGACACAGAAAGACAAAGGCCACATTTTCTCTCGTATGACAGAGGCTTGGGATAATATTATCTCTCTCAAAAGAGAATTTCTTCTTCTTCTTCTTCTTCTTCTTCTTCTTCTTCTTCTTCTTCTTCTTCTTCTTCTTCTTCTTCTTCTTCTTCTTCTTCTTCTTTTTGACAGGCAGAGTGGACAGTGAGAGAGAGAGAGAGACAGAGAGAAAGGTCTTCCTTTGCCATTGGTTCACCCTCCAATGGCCGCCGAGGCTGGCGTGCTGTGGCCGGTGCACCGTGCTGATCCGATGGCAGGAGCCAGGTGCTTCTCCTGGTCTCCCATGGGGTGCAGGGCCCAAGCACTTGGGCCATCCTCCACTGCACTCCCAGGCCACAGCAGAGAGCTGGCCTGGAAGAGGGGCAACCGGGACAGAATCCGGCACCCCAACTGGGACTAGAACCCGGTGTGCCTAGTGATTAGCCTAGTGAGCCGCGGCGCCGGCCAAAAGAGAATTTCTATTGATTCTGCTAGACACCTGGGGCAGAAGAGGTCAAGATCATGTCAGTCCAAATTCCTGGCTTTCGAAGGTGTGGTGTTGCTTCTAAGTCAGTCCACGCCCCACCCACTGTCAAGTGCATGGTATCCAGTTTACTTTATTCTGGAAGGGTCCAACCCAAAGAAAAAGGGCCCCTCCCACACCTCCTGTTCCACAGACGCTGAACTCCCATCCTCCTGGTTCCCTGGGGCTACTGAGCTGTTCAGCCACCGTTCATGAAACCTGCAGAAGTCCCAGGAGACAAGAGGCCCCAAGTTCTGGATTCGTGACTGCAGGTCCTCACTGTTCTCTGGATTTACGCGTACAGTGTGTACAATGAACATAACTTCATAGAGCCCCAGGACAGATACACTGTATACTTACAACATCATCAATTACGAGGTGCGCCATGCACCCAAATGGTTGTCCCCCAGGGCTGTGGGGGAGAAGGGAGCCCCACAAAAGAGACCCACAGTTAAATGCACACACTAATGGTCAGATACCTCCTGGTTCCAGAAACATGACCATGGAAGGCTAAAAAAGCTATTTTTTTAAAAGATGCATTTATTTTATCTGAAAGTCAGAGAGCAGGAAAGACAGAGAGATCTTCCATCTGTTGGTTCCCTCCCCAAATAGCCAACACTGTGCCAGACCAAAGCCAGGAGCCAGGAATTCAATCCAGGTCTCCCACGTGGGGGGCAGGGGCTCAAGTCCGCTGCTTCCTAGAAGTGCGTTAGCAGGAGGCTGGAATCGGGAGAGGAGCCAGGATTTGAACCCAGGCCCTCCAGTATGGGATGTGTGTTTCCCAAGCAGCAAGGTAAACTGCTGTGCCAAATGCCCGCCCCTGGTGGGCACATTTTAAAACCTCTCCATACACATGCAGGTGAGTATTGGGAGAACAAGAGAAAAGAATTAATAGTCACTACCTCCGAGGTGGGAGAGGAGAGAGAAACTCACTTTGCGCTGCACACACTCCTGAAGTATTTGAAATGTAAGGAGAAAACTCAAAATGTCAGTGTAGGGGAGGGGAGACCAACAGAACTGCGGGACTCAGGATGCCAGCGCCCCCGCAGGCCAGGGCCCTCTGCACGACGCCTGTCCCGGCGCGGAGAGGAAGGGTCACGGAGCCCACGCAGAAGCGGGAAGGGGCGCGTGCCCCGGGGCCTGACTTACCCGACGGTGCCATCTGCCAGCCAGCCCGTGGCGCACACGGCCAGGGCGCAGTCGCGGACCAGCCTGCGCAGCTCGTGGGCCGACACCAGGTGAGCGCCTCTGCTCTCGCAGGAGAGCCGCGCCGCCTCCAGCCCCAGGCCCCCCGAGCCGGCGGGGGGCTCCAGCACAAACAGCTTCCCTGTGGGACAAGGACAACACAGGTGCATCTGAGATCGCTGGTGATCCCTTTTGTTTTTAATTTGAAAGGGAGAGTGGAGACAGAGAGAGAGAGAGAGAGGTCTTCCATCCGCTGGTTCACTCCCCAATTGGCTGCAACGGCCGGAGCTGGGCTGATCAGAAGCCAGGAGCCAGGAGTTTCCTCGGGGTCTCCCATGCAAGTGCAGGGGTCCAAGGACTTGGGCCATCCACTGCTGCTTTCCCAGGCCATAGCAGGGAGCTGGATCGCAAGTGCTCTGTTGCCAGAGCAGCCGGGGCCCTTATGGGATACTGGGGACCCAACCTGCTGGGCTGCAGCTGGCCCCAATCCCTGGGAATTTATCTTAATGAACGCAGTCCCTGGCAGACACCTGTCACATCCAAGCGTTCTACTACCTGAAGTCCCAAGGGTAGTAACCACAGCCCGGCAGGCCATCCTTGCAACCAGGTTACGACATGACATTGGTGTTTTCCTTCCTTCCTTCCTTCCTTCCTTCCTTCCTTCCTTCCTTCCTTCCTTCCTTCCTTCCTTCCTTCCTTCCTTCCTTTCACAGGCAGAGTGGACAGTGAGAGAGAGAGAGACAGAGAGAAAGGTCTTCCTTTTCCGTTGGTTCACCCCGCAATGGCCGCTGCGGCCGGCGCTGCACCGATCCAAAGCCAGGAGCCAGGTGCTTCCTCCTGGTCTCCCATGGGGTGCAGGGCCCAAGCACTTGGGCCATCCTCCACTGTACTCCCGGGCCACAGCAGAGAGCTGGACTGGAAGAGGGGCAAGCAGGACAGAATCCGGCACCCCGACCGGGACTAGAACCTGGGGTGCTGGCGCTGCAGGTGGAGGATTAGCCTAGTGAGCCGCGGCGCTGGCTGACATTTGTGTTTTCATCCATTTTTGCCCTTCCTTAAAAAAACAAAAACAAAAACAAAAACAAAAAACAGCCATCTGCTCTAGTGTGTTATGGACATACAGGCCGCCTGTGACAATGGCATCACATACTGGAGTCCCAGCTACTCCACTTTCCATCCAGCTCCCTGCTACTGAACCTAGGAAGGCAGTGGAAGACGGCCCAAGTGCTTGGGCCCTTGGCACCACGGGAGACCCGGATGGAGTTCCTGGCTCCTGGCTTCAGCCTGGCCCAGACCTGGCTGTTGTAGTTTTTTGGAGTGAATCGGCAAATGGGAGATCCTCCTCTCTCTCTCTCTCTCCCTCTCTCCCTCTCTCTCTCCTTCTGTCTCCTTCTCTCTTCCCCTCTCCCTCTCCAGCATTCTAAACTTCAAACAAAATGATAAATAAATCTTTCAGGCCGGCGCCACAGCTCACTAGGCTAATCCTCCGCCTAACGGCGCCGGTACCCTGGGTTCTAGTCCTGGCTGGTTCTGTCCTGGTTGCCCCTCTTCCAAGCCAGCTCTCTGCTGTGGCCCGGGTGTGCAGTGGAGGATGGCTCAAGTGCTTGGGCCCTACACCCCATGGGAGACCAGGAGAAGCACCTGGCTCCTGCCATCGGATCAACGCGGTGCGCCGACCCTTGGAGGGTGAACCAACGGCAAAGGAAGACCTTTCTCTCTGTCTCTCTCTCTCACTGTCCACTCTGCCTGTTAAAATAAATAAATAAATAAATAAATAAATCTTTCAGCAAAGACAAATCAGCAAAAATATAAGGAGAAACAGAAAAACCCACAATTGTTATGGAAAAATTTAAGTATGACTCTTCTCAGTAATTGATTAAACAGAAAAATCAGAAAGGATGTGGATGATTTAATTCACAAATTAAGACTTTGAAATGTCTATTTTTTTGAGAGGCAGAGTTACAGACAGAGAGAAATAGAGACAGAAAGGTTTTCCACCTGCTGGTTCACTCCCCAATGGCCACCACAGCTGGCACTGTGCCAATCTGAAGCCAGGAGCCAGGTGCTTCTTCCTGGTCTCTCACGCGGGTGCAGGGCCCAAGCACTTGGGCCATCCTCCACTGCCCTCCCGGGCCACAGCAGAGAGCTGGACTGGAAGAGGAGCAACTGGGACCGGAACCCAGTGCCCATATGGGATGCCGGCGCCGCAGGCGGAGGATTAACCAAGTGAGCCACGGCACTGGCCTGAAATGTCTATTTTTTATCTACTTTTTTATCTACTTAAAAGTAGAAAGAGACAGAGGCAGAGAAAGATACAGAGAGAGAGAGACAGAGAGAGAGAGAGAGAGAGAGAGAGCGTCCACCTGCCAGTTTACTTCCCAAATGGCTGCAACAGCCAGGGCTGGGTCGGGTGGAAACCAGGATCTTGGAACTCCGTCCAGGTCTCCCACGTGAGTGGCAGGAACTCAACCGCTGCCCCATCCTCTGGCTTCCCCCAGCACGTTAGCAGGAAGCTGGATTGGAAGCAGAGAAACTGAGACTTGCATTGGCACTCCAATGTGGAATGCAGGTGTCCGAAGTGGTGGCTTAACCTGCTGCACCACCGTGCCCCCAGCACTAAACCAGCACTCTGTGTAAGGCCATGTGTGTAGTACTGCATACTTACCTAGAGTGCATACACAGTAAACATACAGGGAACATTTGTAAAATTGATCCTACACTGAGCAGCAGGCAAACCTGGGAACACCTCACAAGGCCAAGATCATGTTTTTTAGAGCACAACACAAGCAAACTAAATTCACTTATTTATGAAACAATTACAATATGCTTCCCATGGGCCAGGTTTCACATTGTTTCACAAGCCTTCTTTATTCTCATCCTTACAACAGTCTCATCCACCTGGAGATGCTACTGTTACTTCACTTTATAGTTGAGGTTTACTATTATAGCTTGTCCAAGATCACACAGCTGAGATAAAAAAACCACACACCAATTAGCTTTCCCTCGGTGATTTTTTTTTTATTTGAAAGGCATAAGAGAGAGAGAGACAGAGACAGAAATATCTTTCATCCACTGGTTCACATCCTGAATAGTCGCAATAGCCAAGGCTGGGCCAGGTCAAAGCTGGGAGCCAGAGCCAGGAGCTTCTTCTGAGTCTCCCACGCGGGTGCAGGGGCCCAAGTACTTGGACCGTCCTCCACTGCTTTCCCAGGCCATAGCAGAGAGCTGGATGGGAAGTGGAAGAGCCAGGACTTGAACCAGCGCTCATAGGGAATGCTGGCACTGCAGTAGCCCACCATGCCACAGCGCCAGCTGCGATCTATGCCCTTCCAGGTGTATTAACATGAAGCTTAATGAGAAGCAGAGTAGACAAGACTCAGGAGCTGGGATGTGGGATGACTGTGTTGCAAGCTGTGGCTTACTCAGCTGTTCCAAGATGCCTGCCCTGCCTTCAGCGATCTTAATTACTGTGTTACATTTGTTGCCTCCTGATAACTATATAATAACTAGGAAAATCCCCCTGTGTATAGCAATTACAAAATATACTTTTTTAAAAGATTTATTTATTTATTTGAAAGGCAGAGTTACAGAGAGGCAGAGGGAGAGAAGGCAGAGTTACAGAGAGGCAGAGGGAGAGAAGGCAGAGTTACAGAGAGGCAGAGGGAGAGACAGAGAGAAAGGTCTTCCTTTGCCGTTGGTTCACCCTCCAATGGCCGCTGCGGCCGGCGTGCTGCAGCCGATGCACCGCGCGGATCCGAAGCCAGGAGCCAGGTGCTTCTCCTGGTCTCCCATGGGGTGCAGGGCCCAAGGACTTGGGCCATCCTCCACTGCCCTCCCTGGCCACAGCAGAGAGCTGGCCTGGAAGAGGGGCAACTGGGACAGAATCCGGCACCCCAACTGGGACTAGAACACGGTGTGCTGGCGCCGCAAGGCGGAGGATTAGCCTAGTGAGCCGTGGCGCCAGCCATAATAATATTTTGAAAGAAAGATGTTTGAATATCAGGATCTAAGTTACTATCTCGAGAACATAAAAAATGGAGAACATAAAATAAAAGCTCTTCAAGAAGCAGGAAGAACAAAGTCATAATGAAAATGCAGAAATCCGTGAAATGGAAAGCAGGCCTATAGAAAATAAATAAAGCCTAAAGTTGCCTTTTTTAAAAAGGATAACAAAATTGGTGAAAATCCTAGCAAGACTGACCAAGACAAAAAGAGAAAATACAGATAACCAATTCCAAGAATAAAAGGGAACATCACTACAGACCCCATGGACATGGAAATGATAATTAAAGATCATGACATTGTATTTATGCCAGCACATTTGACAAGTTAGATGAGTTGGGGAAACAAAATTTTTTTTTCATTAAAGTAAGTTTATTTAAAAGGCAGAGATGGGCCGGTGCTGTGGCATAGTAAGTTAAGGCTCCTCCTGTGGTGCTGGTATCCCATATGGGTGCCGGTTCATGTCCCGGCTGCTCCTCTTCCAGTCCAGCTCTCTGCTGTGCCCTGGGAAAGCAGCAGAACATGGCCCAAGTGCTGGGGCCCCTGTTCCTTCATGGAATACCTGGAAGAAGCTCCTGGCTTCGGATCGGCCCAGCTCCAGCCTTTGCAGCCATTTGGGGAGTAAACCAGAGGGTGGAGGACCTTTCTCTCTGTCTCTCCCTCTCTGCAACCCTGCCTCTCAAATAAACAAATTTTAAAAGCTTAAAAAAAAAGGCAGAAACAGAGAAAGAGGCACAGAGAAACAGAAAAATCTCTCATCCACTGTTTCACTCTTCAGATGCCCAAAACAACCTGCGCTGAAGCCACGAGCCCTGAACTCATCTGGGTCTCTCACGTGGGTGGCAGTGGCCCAAACACTTTGCCATCACCTGCTGCCTCTAGTATACATATTAGCAGGAAGCTGGAATCCAGATCGGAGCTAGGACTTGAACCCAGGCCCCCTGAAATGGGATGTGGGCATCCCAAACGACATCTTAAATGCTGTGCCAAATATCAGCACCAGAAAATTTCTTAAAAAAGAAAATTTAGCAAAACTGATTTTAAAATCTGAATATTTCTTTACTAAAGAAATTGCATGCAGTACTTAAAATCTTCCCTTATGAGGGACCGGTGTTGTGGCGCAGAGGGTTGAGCAACTGTCTATGATGCTGACACTCAGTATGGGCGCGGTTCAAGTCCCGGCTGCTCCACTTCTGAACCAGCTCCCTGCTAATGTGCCTGGGAAGGCCGCAGAGGATGGCCTAAGTGTTTTGGCCCCTGCTACCCAAGTGGGAGACATGGATTGAGTTCCTGTTTCCTGGCTTTGGCCTGGCCCAGCCCTATTAGCAGGTAGGGAGTAAATCAACAGAAAATCTCTCTTTTTCAAATAAATAAATCTTCCCCATAAGAAACCGCAAACACAGATGACCTTACCACTAAAGCATAGGGAAGGGGCCAGTGCTGCTTAAATAGCGGGTTAAACAGCAGGTTAAAGCCCTGGCCTGAAGTGCTAGCATCCCATATGGGCGCCGGTTCTAGTCCTGGCTGCTCCTCTTCCACTTTCCTGGGAAAGCAACAGAAGATGGCCCAAGTCCTTGGGCCCCTGCACCCATGAGGGAGACCTGGAGGAGGCTCCTGGCTCCTGGCTTCAGATCGGCGCAGCTCCGGCTATTGCGGCCATCTGGGGAGTGAACCGGTGGATGGAAGACCACCCCCCACCGCCTCTCTCTGTAACTCTGTCTTTTTTTTTTTTTTTTTGACAGGCAGAGTGGACAGTGAGAGAGAGAGACAGAGAGAAAGGTCTTCCTTTGCCGTTGGTTCACCCTCCAATGGCCGCCCCGGCCGGCGCACTGCGGCCAGCGCACCGCACTGATCCGATGGCAGGAGCCAGGTGCTTCTCCTGGTCTCCCATGGGGTGCAGGGCCCAAGCACTTGGGCCATCCTCCACTGCACTCCCGGGCCACAGCAGAGAGCTGGCCTGGAAGAGGGGCAACTGGGACAGAATCCGGCGCCCCGACCGGGACTAGAACCCGGTGTTCCTGCGCCGCAAGGCAGAGGATTAGCCTAGTGAGCCGCGGCGCTGGCCCTGTAACTCTGTCTTTCAAGTAAATAAAATAAATCTTAAAAAAAAAGCATAGGGAAACTAACTTCACAGAAGCCCCTCTTTTTCCAATTCACTTTAGGAACCATCCTTCTGCTGATACCGACACTTGACAAGAATATTACAAGACATGAAAACCCCAGGCCGATATATCTCATGATAGATTCAAGAACCATAACCTGTGTCTCTCCCTGCAGGCCTGGTTCTAGGTCTGCTCACTGCAAAGCTTCTCCCTGGGACTCCAAGCACACACACGTGGCTTCAACGCCCAACCTCACCTGGATGATACATTTTTTTCTTCAGCCCAGATCTCTTGCATTCAGACAAAACCGAGCCCAGGAGGTGTCTGACGGTGCCTCTGCGAATTCCTCCGGCATCGTCTCCAACCACTCTGCCTTCATACATGTCCTGTTTTCCCTATAACAGGTTCTTCCACACTCTGCCTTCCGTTTTCCATCTAGTTCATCCCTAACCCATCTCGTAGATCCTCCTGCACCAAGTCTCAGTCTCCGAGCGTAAGATCTCAGAGTACCTCTGTCCTGTAATATTTCCAATGATCAAAAAGTTGCGATTTCACATTCCATCCTACACTTCTTTGCTTAACGACTCTCCCCATCATCGGATTTTAAGCTCCCTGATAGAAGGAACTCGTCTCTCTCCATTCTTCCATCTTCGTCACCAAGGACAGTGCCAGGCGTGTGGCAGAGGCTCAATGATATCTGTTGAATCAACGATTTGGTCCCGGTAACCATCACCCAAATAGTTCATTTACATTCAATTAGTGTTGAGATTTTTCCATTTCAGAAGTATTGAAAAAGACCACAGCAGGTCACCTTTATGCATGAGATGTATGTCAAGCCAAATGTCAGCTAAATGGCTTTTGTCTGAATGTTTCCGATTGCCTTATTTTTATAGACATGGTTTCTCTCCAAACCTGTCTCTTCAGATACGTGTACTGCATCGCAGTGTGGCTGTACACGTCTTCCTCCTCCCCTCCCTGCGGCACACAAATAACTCAATGTGGGAAGTGGTGGTAGTTAGGCATATATTTAGTAAAGAATCTTTTCAGAGCAGCTTATAATTCTTCAATGGCTCTATTATAAAAATTGGAGCTCAGAAAGGAAGTGACCAATAATTCACCGGGGAAGAGGGGAGAGAAGGAGAGAGAAGGGAGAAAGTGGAGCAGTTCTGGCCATCAGTGACAAGGAAACAAACAGGCGCCCGGTGCTCTATTTCCAGTGTCCAAGGGCAATTCTGCCTTCAGTCCTCTCTGACCGACACCAAGCCAGGCAGGCACCCAACACTGCCACTTAGGCAGGACCGATGGAGGGAAACTCTAAAATCTTCCTAATGGCAATGATATTTCTCTGAAAGAGATTAAAACTGGTACAGAAGCTACAGTTGTGCAGAAGTAAATGCTGGCTCCAATGTGTTCTACTCGTATTATTTCAGATCAGCTTAATAAGTAAGTGTCCGGGGAAACATCATGGACCACCTGCCAACACGTAAGAGCTTTCTTTGGGCCAGCGCTGCAGCTCACTAGGCTAATCCTCCGCCTTGCAGCACTGGCACACCGGGTTCTAGTCCCGGTCAGGGCGCCAGATTCTGTCCCGGTTGCCCCTCTTCCAGGCCAGCTCTCTGCTGTGGCCCGGGAGTGCGGTGGAGGATGGCCCAAGTGCTTGGGGTGCACCCCATGGGAGACCAGGAGAAGCACCTGGCTCCTGCCCTCAGATCAGCGTGGTGCGCTGGCTGTGGCAGCCATTTGGGGGGTGAACCAATGGAAGGAAGACCTTTCTCTCTCTCTCTCTCTCACTGTCCACTCTGCCTGTCCAAAAAAAAAAAAAAAAAAAAAAAAAAAAAGCTTTCTTTGGGGCGCGATGGGCCTGTTCTGGAATTAATGCACACCCATTATTTGGGAAATGTTATGTGAACCATATCCTAAGAATGTTGTGTCTCTAACCCTGCCAAGGAGGGTTGGAGAAATGAAAACACCCTGAATTAGGAGCAAGGGCTCTTCAAACCTGCACATAGGACAGAGAGCACTAAAAACTCCAAGCTAACATCTGGAAGGCTTTTGATTTTTCTTCTGGGCTGTCCCCTATCCTGAACCACCATGTTGCTTTTTGTTGTGTCTATACCCACTCCGTAGTCTTCACTGCACGACGGTTCAATATATAAACACAAAGCATCCCAAGTCAACGGAGGGCTGCTCTCCACGTCAATCTAATGGATCTCAAGCGCCAATTGCACAGAACTCTTCATGGATGTGAAACCTACTGGCTTCCAAGCCTGCGTCGTGTGTGTGTGTGTGTGTGTGTGTGTGTCCAAAATCAGAGCAAGCTGGATTAGCTTTAAAAATGGAATTGATACAGAGCTCCGATCCTGCTCATGTAATGGAAGCCTCAAAGCTGAATTCAAGTCCAAAAACTTAAAAAAAAATCCTCCTAAAAGTGGGCCAATTCTCAGAGAATCAGCAGCACCATTTCGCGACGTCTCAAGACATCCCGACCTCGCACTCTGGGCTCCGGCCACTTCGCTGTCATTTGTCCCACACTCAGAAACTGCTCCCCACACCCGGGGCGGGACGGCGGGACCAACGCGCAGGCTTCCTCGGTGCGCGCCCCGGGTGTGGGGAGGTCCCGGGAGCCCGGCGAGCGCTGGGGCGCGCGGCGCACGGCGACTCGGCGGCCCGAGACAGCCACTCGCCACTAGCCGCGCTCACTCCAAGGAGCGACCGCAGCGAACCTCGCCTTCCCCGCCCGCCCGCCCGCGGCATCCACCCGGGGCCCGCCACCTCCCAAACACTCACCATCCGCCCGCACGGAGAGCCGCGGTGCACTGAGCAGGAGCAGCGCTGTCGCCACCCAGAGCCCGGGCAGGCTGCAGTGCGCCCGGGAGCGCGGGGCCGGCCCCGGGGCAGTCATGGTCCGGGCGTCGGCGGCTGGCGAGGGGGTCTGGCTGCGCTCCGGGGGTGCCCAGGCCGCTGGCCGGCGCGCGCCACTCGGCGCTGTGCGCTGCGCTCAACTGCGGGCTCGCGGGCTTCGCGCCCAGCGCGCCCAGCCCCAGCAGACGCCGGGATGCGAAGGGGAGGCCCGCCACGCCGGGGCCGCCCAACTCCCGGGAGGGGGTGGAGAGGGGTGGTCTTCTCCGTGGCGCCGGGGAGGCGGCTAAACCCCGGCTCCACCTGGAAGCCGCGGTGCCAAAAGGGGCTGCGCCCGGGGCGCGCGCACTGGGGCGGAGAGCCAGGGCGCAGAGAGGCGGGGAGAGCGCAGCCGCCGGCCACGAACCCCCGGCCTTTTGGGGGACCGCGGGCCGGAGGCTGACGCCGTCGGAGCGTATGCCGGACTCCGTCCTCTGCCTGTTGATTTGCTGCCGGCGTCTCCTACTTATAATTTTGTTTTTGAAAGAGGAGGACGCTCTTAACTCGCCAGCCGCACTCGTTCCTAGGCACGTCAAATACGCACTAGTATACCCGACCGCGTCTCCCCGACCGCCAGCAGCCCTGTGCGTTTGTCAGCATCTTCGCCCACCCCCCGAGCGGGGCTGAAATGCGGATTCTTGCCTGCTGGTCTGCGAACTTACACTGAATGAACACCCCAGCGCATCTGCTGCCTGGGTCCCTGCCCCGAAGGTGTTCCTGCTTCCAGTGCACCCCCACCCTGGGTCTCCCCCGTGCGCCACACCGAGCGGAGGAAGGAAGGTTTGTTGTCTCCACAGGTGGAGAAACGAAGATCAGCGTTGTCATAACTGGGACGCTGGCGGCAGTCTACAAACTCCGTCAATATTTATGTATTTATCAGTAGATTATCTATGGAGCGCGCACGAGAGCGCCTCATCCTTGAATGAGGCCCCCTTCTGTTACAAAAATGTTCATTTTTTTTAGGATTTATTTATGAATTTGAAAGGGCCGGCGCTATGGCAGGTACAGTGGCCGCCTGCAATGCTGGCATCCCATGTGCCCCCAGTTCGAGCCCCAGCTGCACCACTTCCCATCCAGCTCTCTGCTAATGGTCTGGGAAAGCAGCAGATGGCCCAAGTGCTTGAACCCCTGCACCTGCGTGGGAGACCTGGAAGAAGCTCCTGGCTCCTGGCTTCCCATCACCCCAACTCTGGCTGTTGTGGCCACTGGGGAGTGAACCGGAGGATGGAAGACCTCTCTCTCTGTCTCTCTGTCTTTGCTTCTCTGTAACTCTGCCTTTCAAATAAATACATAAATCTTAAATTTATATAAAAATGTAAATATATAAGTAAATAGATATATGTTTTATAATGCTTAATTTCTAATATACATTTTACAATAAATTAATTTTAAATTGATTTAATATAATGAATATTTATACATAAATATAGAAGTAAATAAATCTCAAGATTTATGTATCTATTTGGTATGTAGGGGCCAGCATTGTGCTGCAGTGGTTTGAGCCACTGCCATGTATTAGAGCACTAGTTCAAGTCCTGGCCTGCCCCACTTTTTTTTTTTTTTTTTTTTTTTTGCCAAGCAGAGTTAGACAGTAAGAGAGAGAGATTTATAGACAGTGAGAGAGAGACAGGTTTTCCTTCCATTGGTTCACTCCCCGAATGGCCGCCACTGACTGCCGGCGCTGCGCCAATCCAAAGCCAGGAGCCGGATACTTCCTCCCGGTCTTCCGCTGAGAACTGGACTGGAAAAGGAGTAACCGGGACTAATACCTGGTGCCCCAACCGGGACTAGAACCCGGGGTGCCGGCGCCGCAGGCAGAGGTTTGGCCAAGTGAGCCATGGCGCCAGCCTATGTATCTATTTGAAAGGCAGAGTCACAGAGAGAGAGAGAAAGAGAGGGAGAGACAGAGAGATCTATCGGCTGGTTCACTCCCCAGATGGCCACCATGGCCGGAGCTGGGCCAATGGGAAGCCAGGAGTCAGGGGCTTCTTCCCGGTGTTGAGGGCCACATACCTGAGCCATCTTCCACTGCTTTCCCAGGTCGCTAGCAGGGACCTGGATCGGAAGTGGAGCAACCGGGATTCGAACCCTGGGGCATATGGGATGCCAGTGCCACAGGCAGAGGCTTAACCTCTGAAAAATGTCACATTTAAATGGCAGATAGGAAAGATTGAACCAGTGATTGGTGCTAAAAAGGACACATCATTTAATGAACCAGGACACACAGTCTGAAAAATTCACTTTTCTTTTCCTGGTAAGAACTGGTGCTGAAAAGCTTTCTCCTCTTCGCTCCTGCCTGCAGCAGACTGCAGGGCTGGGATCAGTGACAATTCCACGTTGTCTTTACAGTGCAGATGCTCCGGAATGGTAAATGCGGTGGGGCCTGACTGCGTCCTTTACTCAGCTGCTTCCTTCCTTCCTTTTTTTTTTTTTTTTTTTTTTTTTTTTGACAGGCAGAGTTAGACAGTGAGAGAGAGAGACAGAGAGAAAGGTCTTCCTTCCATTGGTTCACCGCCACAGCCAGCGCACTGCGTGGATCCGAAGCCAGGAGCCAGGTGCTTCTCCTGGTCTCCCATGGGGTGCAGGGCCCAAGCACTTGGGCCATCCTCCACTGCACTCCCTGGCCACAGCAGAGAGCTGGCCTGGAAGAGGGGCAACCGGGACAGAATCCAGCACCCCAACCGGGACTAGAACCCGGTGTGCCAGCACCACAGGCGGAGGATTAGCCAAGTGAGCCGCGGCGCCGGCCAAACTGCTTCCTTTCTGACAGCTGGTGACCTGAGCTTTGAGACTTCACACATCTGGGGGGGGGGGGGGGGGGGGGTGATTTTTAAAAAGTATTTGAGACGGAGAGAGTGAGCGCGTGAGCTCCCATTTCTGATTCTCTCCTCAAATACCTGTAATGGGCCGCCCCAAAGCCAGGAGCAGCAGGTTCCATCAGGGCCCCCCCGTGTTTGAGCCATCACCTGCTGCCTTCCAGGGTGTGCGTTAGTAGGAAGCTGCAGTCCGTGCTGGATCCTAGAGGAGCACAGATGCTCTGATATGGGACATGAACATCGAAAATTCTAGGCCAAATGCCTGCACGGAGGGGAAATTTTAAATCTAAGTCGGTGGGCCCCGCATTGTGGCGCTGTGAGTTAAGCTGCTGCCTGGGTCGCCAGCCTCCCTGTGTGGCTTCTGATGCACTCCCTGCTAAAGGGCCTGGGTGGCAGCAGCAGACGGTGCAACTGCTTGGGTTCCTGCCACCTACAAAGGAGACACGAATGGTGTTCCTGGCTCCTGGCTGAGTGAGTCCACGGATGGAAGATGTCTCTCTCTCTCTCTCTTTTTTAAGATTTATTTTATTTATTTGAAAGTCAGAGTTACAGAGAGAGGTAGAGACAGAGAGAGAGAGGTCTTCCACCCGCTGGTTCACTCCCCAGATGGCCACAATGGCCGGAGCTGCGCTGATCCGAAGCCAGGAGTCAGGAGCTTCTTCCCAGTCTCCCACGTGGGTGTAGGGGCCCAAGGACGTGGGCCATCTTCTACTGCTTTCCCAGGCCATGGCAGAGAGCTGGAAGATGTCTCTCATTCTCTGTCTTTTCTTCCTTCCCAGTAGCTCTGCTTTTTCTAATAAATAAATAAATAAATAAATCTTTAAAAATAAATCCCAGGGCCGGTGCCGTGGCTCAATAGGCTAATCCTCCGCCTTGTGGCGCCGGCACACCGGGTTCTAGTCCCGGTCGGGGCGCTGGATTCTGTCCCGGTTGCCCCTCTTCCAGGCCAGCCCTCTGCTGTGGCCAGGGAGTGCAGTGGAGGATGGCCCAGGTGCTTGGGCCCTGCACCCCATGGGAGACCAGGAAAAGCACCTGGCTCCTGCCATCGGATCAGCGCGGTGCGCCGGCCGCAGCGCGCCGGCCGCGGCGGCCATTGGAGGGTGAACCAACGGCAAAGGAAGACCTTTCTCTCTGTCTCTCTCTCTCACTGTCCACTCTGCCTGTCAAAAAAAAAAAAAAATCCCAGTTAGTACTGAGAAAGGGGTGGAGGAGAAGGGTCAGAAGGCAGCCACCTGCTGCCTCACTCAGGGGCTGTGCCCAGCAATGTTTTTATATATACACCCACCTGACCACAGTCCACCTCTCTCAGCCCTTGGTAGCTGCTGTTCTGTTTTCTGCCTCCCTGGATTTGCCTATACTAGGTGTCTCCCAGGGTAGAATGATGCAGTATTTGTCCTTTTGTGCGGCCTCTGTTTCTCAGTTCTCTGGTGGAGCAGGGATGACAAGTGCACACCCAAGTGTAAAGCCAAGGTGTTTTCTCCTCTGTTAACGTGAAATTCCCCAAGAGGCCTGTAGGTCTGGGTCGAGGGAGAGGGGGCAAAGCACTGGAGCCGGAGACACTGCTCTGCTCCTTCCAGGGCCGCTCTTGGATACGCCAGCTCCATTTAAGAGTGGACTTCTGCCTTGTGATTCAAAGTACCCCGTTCATGGCGCCAGCACAGGCCTCTGACATGCCCAACGCAAGGTAGGAACTGCTTAGCAAATGCAGAGTAGTTGATTGCGCTCTGAAAGTCTGCAGTACTCCATGTGCCACAGACACACGGTGCCTCTCACAACGTGAGGTCAGTAAGACAAGGCGCCTTGCACGGAAGCCTGCATGGTGCAGAGGTACCTCTGTTTGAGAGCTTCAAGCCTGGGGCTGGCACTGTGGCATAGCAGTCAAGCTGCCAGGATGTCGGCGTCCCATATGGGCGCCAGTTCATGTCCTGGTGGCTCCACTTCCAATTCAGCTCCCTGCTAATGTGCCTGGGAAAGCAACAGAAGATGGCCCAAAAACCTAGCCCCAGGCACTGGTGGGAGACCTGGAAGAAGCTCCTGGCTTCAGCTTGGCCTAGCGCTGGCCGTTGTAGCCATCTGGGGAGTGAAGCAGTGCATGGAAGATTCTCTCTCTCTCTCTCTCTCTCTCTCTCTCTCTCTCTCTCCCTCTCTGTAACTCTACTTTTCAAAATAAGTAAATAAATATTTAAAACAAAACTTTAAGTCTTTTAGGTTTACACCTAGTAAAATGGTCCCTAAACCCTGTGTCTTTTCCTTCGTGGTGTAGTACGTGGCTATCACTTTGTCTCTAGATACTGCTCTGAGATAAGACCTGAGAGCATGCTACCATCCTTACGAGAAGGCAGGCTGCTTCTGATTATTTTTGCTGATGGAGTTTTAGAAGTTAAAACATTTATTGGGTCAGTAGCTACGTAACAGGAACCAGGAGCTGAGTTGAGTTGTTCTTGTACTGACCACGAGTGTACCTGGAAGGACAGTTACAAAGGAATCAAACCTGATTAAGCTGAAAATACACAACTAATATTCTCCAAGCGTTTGCCTTGGTAAACATGGAAGAAAACATTGAAAGACCAAATATCCTGGTTTATAACTCTTGTTTGCATTTGTTGTCCCAGCATTCTATCCAATGTCACTTTTGACACAGATTTTTCTTGGTTTTAAAGAAATATTAATATGACAGTGTTCAGTTTTACACTTTTAGGTTCTACATGCTCTCTCAAG